TTCTAGCAGTCCATAATACATGTAATATGCTTCCCTAACACTCTAATCCAAAGCCACTGATCCTTCATTCTTCCTCCTTCATTGTCCAGCTTTCACACCCATATGAAGCAACTGAAAATATCATGGTTTGGGTCAGGTGCACCACTTGAGTCTTCAAAGCGACATCTTTGCTTTTTTTTTTTTTTTTTTTGAAAAGTCAGGCGTGAGGATTAAGGTCAGGACCAAGGCTAGGTCTAGGGTAGGCCTAGGATTTCATTTAAGGTTAGGGGTAAGGGTTGGGCAAAGGATAGGAGGAGTAAGGCTTGGTCTAATTTTTATGTTTTTTGTTGTTGGAACTGTATGTCTGGCTTTCAGTTTTAATTTATAGGTCTGTTTTACTTTGGTTACTTCTATTTGTGGGTTGAGTCTAAGTGATATTGTCAGTGCCTCCAGTGCAGCCTGGACTTCTTCCTTAAATACCACTAGTTCTTGATCATATATTATTTCCTGAAATGGTTGAACATTGACCACTTCTTTCTGGGTGTTCCTTCTATCATCTTCTGATGCTTCCTGCTTAGTTCAGTGTTTTCCCCCATGGTGGTGGTGGCTGTGTGCCATGGAGGGTTTCCGAGGCTGTAAATCTTTACAGGAGCAGAATGCCTCATCTTTCTCCTGCGGAACCGCTGGTAGTTTCGAACTGCTGATCTTACTGTTTGCAGCCTGATTCATAACTGCTATGCTACCTCAAGGCTTGAATTTTTTTTCCATTTCTTTCACCTTGAGAAATGCTGTGTTCTCCCCTTTTGGGTTTCTAACTCCAGGTCTTTGTGCATTTCATTGCAAAACTCTGTCCTCTATAGCTGCCCTTTGGAAACTGTTCAGTTCTTTTACTTCATTGCTTCCATTCATTGTAGCTACTCTACATTCAAGAGAAATTTCAAAGCTACAGGTCAGTAAAAGTAAAGATGTAATTTTTTCCCTTGCTTAATTCATGGCAGTGCTGAATTGTATCCACGGTCCTTGGGGGTTCATGGCCCCCAGGTAAGAGTCCTTGTGCTAAATCTCATGGCCTTTATTGTACTGCCTTGTAGATGTTATATGACAATAGCATTTGTTTTCACTGCATGTAAGATGAAGAAATAATTCAAAGATAAAGAAAAAGAAAACAATAATTCAAACTAAGTTGGAGTTCTGGTGGCACAGTGATTAAGTGCTTGCCTGCAAACCAAAGGGTCAGTGGTTCTAACTCACCCAGGAGCTCTATAGGAGAAAAGATCTGGCAATCTGTTCCTATAAATATTTCAGCCTAGGAAATCCTAAGAGGCTCTTCTAGTTGGTCAAATAGGGTCCCTATGAGTTAGGACCAACTCGACAGACAGCATACAACAAATGCCTAATGAGATTTTCTAATGTCACTTGTGGGGCCGTGGGATAATCTTAGATAACCTGGGTGCTGCCACAGGGAGAGGGACACTTGGCAAGGGTGGAAATGTGGGACTACCAACCTCCTACTTTACTAGAACTACTTTCCTTTAAGCTGTGAATTTCTTGGTTAAGATAAACAGTTTAATTTGAAGAAAAGTTTCCATGGTTTAAAAATGCATGCTACTGATATTGAATAGAGTAAAACCTGCAATTGCCAGAAACTGTGTAAGGTGGGAACCTGTCAGAGAAGCGAAACTCAAAATATTTTCCACTAAAATGAGCAATAGAAAATTGTTAAGACTGCACCCAGTCGAAGTGGGGAGCTTAATGGGGTTTGGACAAACAAGGCTGTCCCGTCAAGTTCTGGCCCTCACAGGTTTGGCTGGGAAATAAGCCGGGCTGATGTGGCCACCAAATGGTAAACTAGCAAAGATAAAAATAAAAGTTTATATTAAACATTAATTCTTTAAGTGGGAAGACCCGTTTACCAAACATTTTGTGAAGGTTAAAGGACTAGAAATATTATATCCCCTTTTCACAGTGGAATGGTGTTTTGTACTTCTCTAAATAGCATCCACTGAAATAGTCTGGAATTCTTTTTAGAAAGAGTTGGGTAAAATGCAAATCAAACCTTGGGTAAGCATTTCATGTTTGCTTTTATTTGTTTAGGAAGCAAAGTATTTCACAGCAGAACCACATTCCATGAAAGGTATGTTTGTTCTGGTTGAAAGGTAATGTTTTCCTCAGGGAAGGCTCACTCCTATCACATCATCTTAGGAAATTCAAAAGCACTTACTTTGTAGACAACTGAATGTCATTTTACTGTCTGAATGCCATGACAATGCTTTCTAAGTCAGTCCTGTTTGTCATATTTACAACAGGAATACAAATCAGCTCTGGTAGCGGTGGTGTGCTGTGGAGTCGGTTCCAACTCCTAGCGACCCTGTGTAGAGTTTCTGAGGCTGCAAATCTTTACAGGAACAGAAAAAGCCTCATCTTTCTCCCAGGGAACGGCTGGTAGTTTCAAACTGCTGACCTTGAGGTTAGCAGCCCGCTACCAGAGCTCCTTCCTCTGATTATTTTGCATATTAATGACATACACTCATCTGGCAGAAAGGAATGCCAATGCAGTAAGAAAAGTTGGCTGTGAAGGTTACGGGGCCACAATTCTGTTATGTGATCATGTAACTTGGCAGATGATGTAATCATCTTCCATTTTGTGATCTGATGTGGTCATCCTGCAGTTTTTGCATAATGCAGAGTTTTGCATAATGACCTGGTCTGTGGAACCTAACTATGTGAGTGAGTGAGGAGTGGGTGTTTATGCTCTTATTCTGTCAGCTTCACCGCCTCTTAGGTGGTCAAATATAGTTATTGTCTGTATTCTGATAAGATGTTCTTGCATATATTTAAGTCTGGCTGTCTGCCTGTATGTGTAAATGTATATGATTGCTTATTTACAAAATATAATCTAATTATATTTGATTAAATACATAAATATTGAATCAATTAACAGACTAGGGATGTTGTTACATGCCGTCAAATTGGTTCCAATGCGTAGTGACTCCATGTAGGGTTTTCTGAGGGTATAAATCTTTGCAGGAACAGAAAGCCTCATCTTCCTCCTGTGAAGCAGTTGGTGGGCTCAAACTGCTCATCTTGTGATTTGCAGTTCAGTGCTTATTGTACAGAGCTACCACATTCCCAAGACAGGGGACAGAATGGGATTAAGAATGCCGGCTCTGGGACTGGACTAGCACCTGCTTACTCTAGCTCAGCTGCGTATTTGCACGATGACTTCTGAGGGCAGGGATGACTATGCTGTTGTTGTTGTTAACTTTTGAGTCAGTTCCGACCCACAGCAACCCTTCATAGGGTTTCTGAGGAGTGGTTAGTGAGCTTGAAATGCTGATCTTGCAGTTCAGTGCATTCAGCCACAGCGCTACACCACCATTGTTGTTGTTGTTGTTATGTGCCATCGAGTCGGTTCCGACCCATAGCGACCCTGTATAGGGTTTCCGAGGGTGTAAATCTTTACGGGAGTAGAAAGCCTCATCTTTCTCCCGCGGAGCAGCTGGTAGTTTCGAACCGCTGACCTTAAGGTTCGCAGCCCGATTCGTAACCACTACGCTACCAGAGCTCCTTAGTCACTGTGAATACTCCGATGAGCATCCTGTACACCATAAACCCACAGCCATCGAGTCGATCACGGCTCATAACGACCACGAGACAGGGAAGAACTGTTTCATAGGGTCTCTGAGACTGTAATCTTTACAGGAACAAACTCCTGTGGGGCAGCTGGTGGGTTTGAACCATCAATCTTGTGGTCACCAGCCCCACAAAGGCTCCTCAGTTCACTGTAAGTGCTCAATGCTCAATAAATGCTACCATTTACCAGTTAGTCCCAGGTTTCCCGCATAGTCAGGCTATGCTTTGTTCAGTTTTAATCATATATTCTAGTGGATATAAGGTGGCTATGGAGATTATTAACACACTAGCAACTCTTCACACAGACTACAATCAAGGATATTCAGTCAACAGACCCCACTGGCCCAGGGCTGAAAGGACATGCGCAAGCATCTCAGCCTAGATTGTTGGAGGCACGCAGGGAGTCGCAGAGGCAGGTGCTCTGCCGCAGGACGTGGCTGCTTGAGATGCCACTCCAGGCTCTGGGAGAGCTGCAGAGCAGTTTCCAGATGGGCACCATGAGACTGCTTCTGGAGTGTTCTATGCCACTGAAGATGACAAATCATTTACATCGATATATGGGGTAAATAGAGCCATGTAAGTTGCTTTTGTGTTTTACCTTTAATACTATTTTTTTTTACTCTACAAAAAACAAACCCAATCCAAGGCCAGCAGGTTCAATTCTGACTCATGTGAGTGATCCTTCACAGGGTTTCTGAGGTTGGAACTCGTTAGGGGTGCAGAAAGCCTCACCTTTCTCTCACAGAACAGCTGGTCTGAACTGCTGACTTTGTGGTTAGCAATCCAGTGCTTAGACCATGGGGCCCCTTATTCTTTACTACACCGATAGAAAGGAGCTCTGCTGGCGTAGTAGCATGTGTATCAGGCTGCTAACAGCAAGGTCAGCGGTTCTTGGGAGAAAAATGAGGCTGTCCACTCCCGTAAAGATTTACAGTCTCGGAAACTCAACGAGGCAGTTTGAGTCTGCTCGATAGGTTAGCTATGGGAGTCAGAATCGACTTCATGGCTGCGGGTTAATGCTGACAGAAAATGCAGAGTATTATTACAGGGGGTGAAGGGAGGTCTTTACGTTCCCATTTCAAATATCACTTAAAAAGATGATTAAAGAATATGTGTAGTATAGAAACAGAAGCCCAGCATGGCCAATCCCTGACTAGACGCATCCCCACATCCAGGGCAAAGGCAGGGCACAGTGTGCAGAATTGGTTTTATTTCAAATGACAGAACACTTAAAAAGAACACTATGATATGTTTGAAGATTCAGGTTGGAACTTAGGAAAAATGTTTCTGGTTGTACTTCAGATCCTCAAATTGTCCCCCAAGCAGGATCCTGAAGGCTGACACAGGAGAGACCGCCGACTCCGACTCCCAAGGGTGGGTGCCTTCTGCTATTCTGAGTGGCGGTTTCTTTTCTTGTTGTGGTTCTCAATCGCCCTTCTGAGTGCTTCATCCTGGACCAGATCTGACATTTTCACATCTGTGTGGCTACAGCCAATTTTGGGGCAGCTGTGAGGGAGAGAAAAATCCAGTCAGCCCTTGCAGCATACACGCTTCCTGCAGGTTTGAGGATTGACGTGGGGACACAGGAACAAAACAGGGCCCTGGTGGCACAGAGGTGAAGTGATTGACTGCTGACCCTCCCTGGGAGGCCACAGACCAGGAAACCCTGTGGGACAGTTCTGCTCTGTCATGTCGGGTCACTAGGAGTTGAAAATCAATTTGATAACACCTAACATAAGTTTAACAAAAGGTGATTTTTTTTTTTAAACTTCTTATTGAGTTCAGTGAAAGCAAATTGGTTTTCCATTCAACAATTCCTACATATTTTGTTTTGTGACATTGATTGCAATCACCACTTCCTCTTTAGTCCCCCATTTCCGCTAGTCCTTCCTTCCTCGTCCTTCCGGCCTTCTGAGCTGTATCTTTAGGCTACTATGGCACTTTTGCTCTCCAGGGTTGACTGTTCTAAGGAGGCCTGACTGTTGTTTGGCTGAAAGCTGAAGAAGAGCCTACAGAAAGGCAGCTTGGGTGAGGTGGTTGCTGGGATGAGATTCGGGATACACTGGAAAGCAGAAGCTACAGGACTTGTTGAGGGCTTGGGCATTCAGATGTCTGGCCTGAGCAATGGGCAATGAGGGGGTGTGCCCTTGACGGTAGTGGGGACCCCAGCACGGCCCTACACCCGCCATGAGAGTGGACAGCTGGACTCTGGAATCCTGGTGTGTGTGTAGCTGTCCTGGTGCAGAGATTGGGTGGGCTGCAGGGGGCTTGGTGGGAGCGCTGTGAATCGTGCTGATAGAAGTAGACTGGAATGACACGTCCCTGTTTAGATGGGGTCTCCAGGAGGGCACTGGGGTGGATGGAGGCACCTGACTGCCTGGAAGAGGAGAGGTCCATGCTGGTCTCAGTATGGACTGCAGCTCTACCATCTATTTCTAGTTAGGAGACCACAGGCCGCTCTCTTGACCTTTCTGAGCCTCTCTTCACTCTGATTTAAACTGGGGGGAGGAGCCCTACATCACCGAGCTGTATGCATGCCCCTCCCTTCATTTACGTCCTGAGCCACTCTGTCCCCAGATGATCGTCAGTCTGGGGAGCTGTCCATATCTTGCAAATCCCCAGCACATGTTGGCATTGATAGGCACTGTTAAGTTGGCCCCTCACTCATGGTGACCCCATCACAACAGAATGATGTGGGTTAAATTGCTGTGATCCACAAGGGTTTCACCGGCTGAGTTTCAAAAGTAGATGTCCAGGCCTTTCTTCCTACTCTCTCAGGTGGACTCACAGCAACATGTCTGCCTCCACTGGCTGATGGGTGGTGGCTGTGCAGGTGGTGTTTGGTCAGGAATGAAACCTGGGTCTCCCGCGTGGAAGGCAAGGAGTCTGCCACTGAACCGCCCAGTGTCCTCATGCCCACCCAACACATTTGTGCACTTGGGGTTGGCCCTGTGCCAGGTTCCAAGTGCACAACTGTGAGCTCGAGGCCCAGTCATCTGAGACTGCTTTTCAAATCAGACCAACAGGTACGGGACAAGAGATGAAAAGGTAATGGGGAAGGGAGGTCAACAGGAAAGAGAAGCTTTTTCTTGTCCTGGATCTCTGGATCAAGGAGTCTTTATATTTGAAGGGCTGTGGGTTAAGTGCTAGGCTGCTAACCACAAGGTTGGGGGTTCAAAACCACCAGCTGCTCCACAGGAGAAAGATGGGGCTATCTGCTCCCGTGAAGATTTAGTCTTGGAAACGCTACACAGGGTCGCTATGCATCAGGACGGACTCAAAGGCAGTGCGTTCTTTTAAGCAATGTAATGACCAGTATGCTCGGTCACAGTATTTATTTCTAAAATGCTGAGATGCTTCTTGCATGGCCAGGCATGCGTGCAAGCCCCCTGTAGTGAGAGAAAGGCAATTATGTGAAAGAGGAGCAGGGAGATTTTGCCAGGGCGTGCATGGTTGGGATGATCTGGTTTTTCATTAGGAGAAATCTGACAACTGTTTTCTGCTAGTTTGTTGATTGTTAAGTACTGTGGAGTCGGTTCTGACTCATAGGGTCCCTGTACAGGGTTTCCAAGGCTGTAAATCTTTACGGGAGCAGAAAGCCTCATCTTTCTCTCGTGGAACAGCTGGTAGCTTTGAACTGCTGACCATTAAATTAGCAGTCCAGTTTGTAATCTGCTAGTTTAAACCTTACTATTTCCCCTAGCCTGTCCCCTTCACTCTGGGAGCTCAGAGTGAATTGTTTCTTTAGCAATGACGTCATGAAGAGGTTACAGACATGTTCACCATGTTAGACATGGAAATGGAAAGGCAACTTGAGGTGGGATGGGCCTCATCTCACATATCGACCCCCTAATGGCCACACGCCCCCACAGAGTCTACCAGTGAGTACGCTGGGCAGGGTCGTGGAATGGGAGACGGAACACTTTCTGGTGCCACAGCTGGTCCTAGGCAGTACGGCAGCACCCTGAGACTGGAGGGAGGAAGAGCCACCATGCTCTCTTCCCTGGTCCCTCTCAACCTACTGGTCTGAGCTCACTTGTGGATGAACTCTGGGGACAGTGCCATTAGTCACCTTGTTCTCCCATGGGAAGCCGGATGGCCAGGAGACAAACCCACTGAACTGACTCTTAAGGCAAGTGACTGATATGTGCCTCAGCTTCTTCCCTATAAAAAGGAAGGCAGAGCGCAGGGCTGCCAGGAGAACCAGGTGGGACGACGGGTGTTGAGGGCTGAGCACCTCAGTTCAGGTGCCACAAAGTTCCTGCTCTAGTCCACGGCTTCTGCTTCCCACTAAACACAGTGGACCATGAGGATAAACTGATGGACAGGGCTCCAGGGAAGCATGTGGAGGACACTTTGCCCCTTGTGTATGAAGGTTAGGGTTAGGAGGGCTAAGATGTGGCTGACCCAAGCCAGGGTATTTTCAGTCGCCTCATATACATGTGAGAGCTGGACATGAATAAAGAAGACCAAAGAGGATATGACGCCTCTGGATGATGGTGTTGGCGAAGGATTTTGACTTCACCATGGACTACTGGAAGAACAAACAAATGTGTGTTGTTAGAAGTACAGCTAGAACGCTCCTCAGTAATGAGGCTGGTGAGGCATGTCTCCGGTGGTTTGGGCATGTTATCCAGTCCCTGGAACAGGGTTTCATGCTTGGTAAGGTAGAGGGTCACTGAGAACGAGGAGACCCCTCAGCAAGATAACCAACACAGTGGGCTCAAACACGATGATTGTGAGGACTGAGCAGGACCGGCCGGGGTTTGGTTCTGTTGGACTATGAGTCAGAACCGAGTCAACGGCACCTAACAACAACAACAACCAACGTGGGTCCAGGGAAGGCTTCCTGAAGGAGACGCTGATGGAAGGGGCTAGGTGAGAACCCAGTGTCTCACCACATGTCAAAGAAACCAACAGCAGTTTTTAAAGGGAAAACAATCGGCTGTAATGACATGCTACTGACTCAGGGCCCTCCCCCTGTGGAAAACGACACTGTAGACAGGTATTAGTGCAGTAATCCCCACGACATTCTGGTGAGCAAGTTAGGTGTGGCAAGAGCCAACAACTAACCTTAAGCTCTCATGTCATCCCTGTGCAGGAGGCACACCTGCAGGCCTCAAAGGAGAGGCTGGGTCTTGAACTCCGGTCACTGGCAGGCCAGAGCATTCTATGGCAGCAGAGAGCAAGCAGGAGGTTATCTGCTGAGAAGAGGCACCGAGTCTCAGGGGCCCCAGGAGGCCTCAGCAGTAGCTCAAAAGTGCAAGATTCTGACTTGCCTGCGTTCTGGGATCTGGGACCCAAGCATTCCAAAGTCCAACCCACAAGAGACGTCTGTAGACACCTCAGGAAACCTGTGAGGGATGGGTTCTCATCATGCCTAGATGCAGAGAGTACCTCTATTCTCTATCCGTTGGAGGTGGCTGTGTGCCGTCAAGTTGGTTCCGACTCATAGTGACACTATGTAGGGTTTCCAAAACTGTAAATCTTAAAGGGAGCTGAAAGCATCTTTCTCCCATAGAGTGGCTGAATTTGAACTGCTAACCTTTAGCAACCCAATGCGTAACCACAGTACTACATCCTTGAGTCGCTATGAGTCAGAGGTGACTCGATGGTGCTTAACAACAAGCAATGACATAAATCACACAAAGAACAGTCTTGACTGCTATTTGTTTAGTGCTAGGTGGTTCAAAAAGAACTTTTTCAGACATGGTCTGTGTCTCCTCCAGTGTCCAGAAATTTACTGGTCCACCAGACCTGGCTTGGAATTCTGTGAGATGTTTTTAACTCCATTTTGTTATTACTAAGTACCATAGAGTTGGTTCCAACTCACTGCTACCCTGTATAGGTTTTCTTCAGAATGGCTGGTGAGTTTGAACCTCCAGCCTTGCAGTTCAAATCGACCTTGAGGTCAGTGCATTATCCCATTCACAAATGAAGATACTGAGGTTCTGAGAGGTGGAACCACTTGTTACTAAGGCGAACACCAGGACTGCCAGCTATCAGCTCACTACTGGAGCTGGGCTGGCCAATAACATGCTCCTATTATTAATTTTATTCACCGTGCTCTGGTATGCAACTGTTTGTTAAATCCAGTTCCTGTTACTACACACAAAAAAGGGGAAGAAATGGCAGTGGTACAATTGGAAATCTATTTATTAATAGGGAAATCATAAGACAGCTTTATAGGAAAATAATTCTAACAAATAATTTTATTAAGAGAAATTCATTTTAGGGAATAATTCTAAATATTGTATTTTGCTGTTGTTGTTATTAAGTGCCATCAAGTTGGTTCCGACTCACAGAGACCCTGTATTAGGTTTCCAAGGAGTGGTTGGTGAATTTGAACCACCAACACTGTGATTCAAACCAACCTTGCAGTCTAGTGCATTATCCCATAGTGCCACACCAGGACTCCTACGTATTGTATTTAGTTAGGGCTGAAGTCTCAGTAATTGTATTCAGATCCAGCCAGTGCCCAGTAACACAATGTACCTACAACTCTA